AGGGTATGACTCAGTGGGTTGGAAGCCAGACTCACTTATGAAGTCACTCGGCGAGTGAATGCCATGACTCGGCGAGTTCATGGCAATCTTCTTATCTCAAGAACAACTCAATGAGTTGTTCATACAACTCGGCGAGTCACAGCTGAGAGTGTTCTTCGGATGAAGGCGAACTCAATGAGTTGTTCATACAACATGGCGAGTAGGAGAAGGACTGTTGGACTTGGGTATAAAGAAAGTGACTCGGCGAGTTGGCAAGCTAACTCGACGAGTCTGGTCAACTGGCAGTTGACTGTGACTTGACTCATGACTTGTTAAGGGTAAATGGACAATTTACCCTGAGGGCACTTAGCAGTATTTGACTAGGTGTTTGGTGGGAATTACAGCCGAAGGATTTCTGGAGCAGCAGCAGCAGACAGACCATTCCCACACAGATCAACAACTACTACGAGGTGAGTTACCTTCCAATAGCGGTGGTTCTAAGGCCACAATGCCGGCCCACCAGTAGGAGATGTATGATAGATGATTGTCTTTGTGATATCATCTAGGTTTGCTATTACCTGATATGTTATATGCTAGCATGATATGTTGTATGTGATAGTAGTAGAGTTCTGTTGTTAGGACCAAAGGGTAGTCAGACACCCTATATACGTCTGACAGTATATGATGATATGTTTGCATACTGGCTTTTTACATTATATGTGATAGAGGTAGTAGGATGGGAATAGTCCCCGAGTTCGATTGCTAGGACCGAAGGGTAGTTCAGGCACCCCATATATGTCTGATAATATGTTATGTTATGATATATGTGATAGTAGCAGTAGGGGGTAAAATAGTCCTCGAGGTTCGGTCGTTAGGACCGAAGGGTAGTCAGCACCCCAGAATGGCTTGACATGAGTAGTCAGCACCCCATAATGGCTTGATACGGGTAGGTCGGCACCCTAGAATGGCCGTATCGGGTAGGTCAGGCATCCCAGAAATGCCTGGCAATATGTATGATATGTGATTGTATGGTATGTGGTATGATGGGGGAACTCACTAAGCTTCGCGCTTACAGTTTTCAGTTTTGGTTTCAGGTACCTCTTCTTCGAAGGGGAAAGAGCTGGCGTGCTAGCGGCCCATTACACACATGCTTCGTATTTCGCATCATGAGATCTTCCTGTGGATTTGTACTCTAACATTATTATGTTTTATGAAATGTTTTCCAGACATGCGATATCTTTATAAAATATTATGATCAGTAAACGTTTTAATTCGAATGTTTTGCTAAATATATGTTTTCAAAAATGAATTTTTTGGCTCGTATTTTTCGGGTGTTACAGTCGAATACAACATGTAGCAGGAACTTTATGTGAGTGGTTTGCCAATATCGGTCATGCACAATAGGCAAAAACTTTTTTCCATAACTTCCGTTGGAATGTAACCTTGATATACTAGAATCCATCAACATCTTAGCAGTTCATGAATGTAATTTACCAATAATAATGCTCATTAATGTAGTATATGAGTACACTCAATGAAATTTTACTCAACATAGTGACTTGGGAGGTAAATTAATATACAAATAATGAAATATTATGTAGGTGCAAAAAGACAAAATTAAATATGTTTCTATTTTTTTTTTTTTTTTTTTTTTGGGGGGGGGGGGGGGGGGGGGAGTCACTGGTGTACTCACCCCATATGTATATTTGGTGATTCAAAAGATGATGTACATGTTTTTTTAGCGACATAAATGAAATATGTTGTCCGAGATGCATTTAAACATGTTATAAGTAATCGATTTTAGGAATACTTGTGTTGCTGATCTGCAACTTCGAACATGTGTATGTGGGATGTGGTGCATTCCTAGTATACCATACCATTGTGTTTTGTCCACAACACACTTCTTAACCTATAAAATATGTAACCATATGGTTCAACTCTATTGGAGGTTTTATCTAGTTGCATACCAAACAACATTGTGCAAGCTATTGTGTCTCCTTCTGAATGGAAATACCAAACCCAATGATTGTTTTAATCAATTTGGAATCAAAATATTTATCATTGATAGAAACTAATTATGTTTGGATTTGGAAATATGAAATATAATTATTATTATTACTTCTTATTGCATACCACAAATAACAAAAAAAAAAAAAAAAAAAAAAACTACCATAAATTTGAAATACATAACATCTTTTAAAATATTCCAAACATTTTCGTGTGAAAAGTCAGCCCTTCACTTTTGATATTGTATTGCTCCCAAGTCTCTATAATTACGTTTTCAGATTAATTCGACAATTCATAGCAAAAATTATGATAAATTTTGTTCAATATTTCCACCTCAATTGTTAAAAACATTACCTCATCTTTTGATTGATATTATCTATTGACCTAATTTGTAGTGAAATATATTTGTCAAAATGAACCGAAAGTTCGATCCATTAAATGTGGGAGATGGATGACGATGGTGTCATTCTTAAAGATAATCAGATGTGATCTCCTTTTTTGGAGTCTATAGAAGCGGTTGATTTGCTACCTTTTTTGAGTTGTATATTTGAATAACTACTATGTCTTATTTATAGGCGATAAAAATAAGAGAATTTATTATTATCAAATTTTCATTTTGCCATCGACTTTTCATTTCATCAGGGAGTTATGATGTCATATTGATCACAAAATTGTATACTTTGACTATGAAATTTGGACATTTAATAAGAATTTTCACTTCACTAGTGACTTGTCATCTAACCAGATAGTTTTCATATCAATTTAACTTTAAAAATGTACAACTTTTCATTTCATATCATTTCAGCTAGGGGTTGTTATGTCATTTTGACTACTATGGATCAAAAAGTTATACTTTATTTTACATCCAAATTTAGAGTGTTATATATCCAAAGATAGAGTTATGAATGAAGTCTTTTTTCATATTGTTTACTAATGAGCCTACTTTAGACCTAAAAATGTACATATTCCTATCATCCAAATTCATAGTGTGATATCCACATGCATATGGCTTATAATATCGAAAACAATAAAAATAATTCATCCCAAACGGAGTTCATATTATAGACATATTAAGGTTTAAAAATAGGGAAAAAAAACTAAATTTGCGTAGCCGGACTCTACAAAAATCTACCTATATTTTCGCACTCAATGACCAAAACGATGTCGTACTGACGAAAAATCGTAAATGTTCCATATTTTTTCAGATGACCATCTGCTAAAATTGTGGCTACTTGGGACATTATTTTGTTTTGTGGATATTTATGGTAAAAAAAAAATTAAAAATGCCTATTGTATTCATTTCGCTAAAAATATCATGTTTAATATGAATAAATATGATTTTAAACGACACTATTCCTCATATAGTTAGGTATTATTTGATTTTTGCCTAACAACTTCTTTGACATTTTGTAATGTGACGCACAAACATTAAAGTCTATACATTGTTTGTTTTTTTTTAAGAAAACATCCAACCTAAAAAGGTAGGGAAAATAACTTAGGAGGGTAAGTACCTTTTTTCCGTGTTCACATATTGACAACTTCTTCTTTTTTATACATAATAAAGTAACTAACTTGTTTTAACTGTTTAAATTACACCAATATTACCGGCTAATACCTGTTTTAACCGGTAACTCAAAGTGAAAATGAATTAGGAGGGTAAGTACTTTTTATCCGTGTTCACATGTTGGCAACTTCTTATTTTTTGTACATAAGAAAGCAACTAACTTGTTTTAACTGTGTAACATCCAAAAAATCATGACCAAAATTTTCTGTTTTTAATTTAATACTAAAACCATAATTGTCAAACCATTAATTTAATACTCCGACATCGGGCCCCGCCCGGCATCAGGCCCTGCCTAGCATCGAGCCTCGCTCGGTATACATGTCTGTCTCTCTTAGGCCTCGCCTATCTCCGGGCCCCGCCTGCTAAACACATACAATCATATAACATGTTAACACATAAAGAAACATACTCTGCTAATAATGAGATACGGAACATTGTCCGTACTCAGCTGGTGATGAGATATGAGACCTCGCCCACACTTACCACTTACCAGGCACATAGAAGTATCACACAGACAACAAGTATAATCTAACATGCAAACATTCCTCGGGCACCCGCCCGACATTGGACATTGGTCTGGAATAACATACTAGCATACAATGCCTAGGGCTAACCCTCGGGTCTTCCTACTCATAGACTACATGGGCTAACATTATGGCCTTAGACCCATTCAAACAGTGAGGAGACTCACCTTGCACTGCTGAAGTGCTGGCTGGAACTAGTTGAGTATGGACGAAGTTCCGTATCTCATTATTAGCAGAGTATGTTTCTTAGGACAGGGATACGGTAGAGTATGTTTCTTTATGTGTTAGCATGTTATATGATTGCATGTGTTTAGTGGGTGGGCCGTAAGAGAGACAGATCTGTATACCAAATGGGGCTCGATGTCAGACGGGGCCTGATGTCGGGTGGGGCCCGATGCCAGAGTATTAAATTAATGGTTTTAGTATTAAATTAAAAACGAAATTTTTATTCATGATTTTTGGGATGTTACACAGTTAAAACAAGTTAGTTGCTTTCTTATGTACAAAAAATAAGAAGTTGCCAATATGTGAACACGGATAAGAGGTAGTTATCCTCCTAAGTCATTTTCCCTTTAAGTTACCGGTTAAAACAACTATTAACCGGTAATATTGTTGTAATTTAAACAGTTTAAACAAGTTAGTTGTTTTATTATGTACAAAAAAGAAGAAGTTGCCAATATGTGAACACGGATAAGAGGTAGTTACCCTCATAAGTCGTTTTCCCAAAAAAGTAAATATTCACTTTTCTTGAAGTAGCCATAGACTAAAGTCTTATTCTTTCTTCTTGATTTTAATTATGACCATTGTATTTAATAGGGGTGTGCATATTAACTGAAAAGTTGGACCATTAGCAAATTAACCAATATAGATGATGACGTGTCGTTAGCATGAACAAAGAGTTGTGCTCAGATGCGCCAGAAACTCCCCTAAGACACATTACGCCTAGATGAAAAATCCTGGTGGGACCTCATGCCCGTAGATGACCCTAAGAGTAGGGTGCCCATGGAGAAGGTCTGACCCCTTGGAGAAGGCCGTTCTCTAACGGTGGCAGAAGAGCCCTCCAAAGGTAATGTCACCGGAGTAGAAGTCGCAATGAGCCTACCGGCCCAACATAGCGAAGGAAGAGTTTCGAAAAGATCGGTCTCTCGATGCTCTAGGTTCCCCCGATACCGCTTTTGCAGGTCATGGTCGATAGAAAAAGGGGACTCAACACCTACAGAAATGAAAACAAGCTAAGAGCTCATGAGAAAAAATAATCATCATTCCAAAATGTAACTTCATTCCAAAAGGGGGGGGGGGGAGGAAGGATGAATAATAGAAAGGAAGCAATAGAACAACTGCCTACCTTTAATAACGGTGTACAAGATTGGCATCTTCCCCCAGTGTCTCAAAGAGGGGCTCATCCCAACCCCAGAAAGTAGAACATCTAGGTTCTCCTCAGGGACGAATTGGATGGTTTTTAGAAGATCAAAAATAGCCTTATTATGATGATACAATTTGGGTGTGACGTAAGAGAAATTGTTTGCCTAGTAGTGCCTGCGACTAACTCGATCTTCATTAAATCATAGCCATTTGTCTTTCCAGTTCTTTGGAGTCTTGCCATCAGCAACCAAGACATTACCTCCATGTCGAGAAAAGAACGTTTACTTGTCACTAGTAGCGTTGAATCGAAAGAGGATCCTAAAGACAAAGTAGTTACGAAGCACTTCGTTTACCCGACAAATCATCTCAAATGCAACCTCCATATTAACAACATTCAGGGTAAGCATCTGGGCACTAAAACCATTCTTTTGAAGAAGCTCTTTCTGGAATTTGGTGAGGGGCAAGCGCAAACTAGCTTCAAAGGTCTTTAAGTAAATACCTACCTTTCGTGACAAATCAGAAAGGATCATCGAGTTGGCAGGCAGAAAATCTACACCTTTAACCGGAGAGAAGCTAAAAGCATCGCTGAAAAGTTTGAACTCAACCTTAGAAGTAATATTGTCGGATTAAGAAGCATTAAACCAAAAGGGTGGCTAATAAAACCTTAATCGGAGAAGAATGAGAAATAAGAGGAAGAGGTTGCGATTGATAAGGAAAGACCTTAATCTTATAAAAAAATAAGGAAAGGCATGGTATTCAAAATCCCTGATGCAATGATGTACTGATTTTCATGATGTGTAGTCACATCGTCGGAAAAACCGAAACGACGATCGAATAGGAATTCAATGTGTGTACCAAGTAGTTAAGCCGAGAACATGATAGCTAGTCTAGCAACGCTACGACTACTGAACTAGGGGACTTGATGACGTTCCATAAGCACATATAAAGAGTTGCGCTCAGACGCGCTAGAAAGTCCTCCAAGACATGTTGTTCCTAAAGGAACAAGCGCAACAGAACCTCACGCTTGTTGATACCCTTACGAGTAGGGCGCCCATGGAGAAAACATGGCCCTAGCCAAAGGTGCCTTCTACTCCGCGAAAAAGTATAACGGTTCCAGGAAACAAGAAATATGCTCGGAGCCTTATCACCTGAATCAATCATTGGCCACGACAGATTAAGGAGCACCATAACCCAATCAGCGTTCCCGATCCCGTCGAGTCTGAAGCCATTATTTTTTACGAACTAACAGAAGGCCTCAGTATAAAAGGCCACATGCGGTGCCTTAGAAAGTAAGTCTCTATCTACCAGTTCACTCTAGAATACACTTAAGTCTATCTATTGACTTGACCATTAGAGCGTTTTTCCAGGAGCCTTCTCCCGGAGAACAGCTGGCAGTTTCCTGTTATTGTGACCTTTCAGACTCATCGGAATTATGAAAGGCATAAAGAATAATCATCTGGTGACCAGGTCACATCAATAGCCGAACCATTTTTATCAAACCATTACTAAAATAAGTTTAGCGGTTTCTAATTTTGATTAACCGAATATATTTTTTTAGGTTATGGTTTTCATTTAAAACCGAACTACTATAAAACGAACCGAACCAATAATACTAATAAATAGTTTTAATATAATATAATATTAAATTTATTGTATGTAATTATATTAAGATTTGTAAATTTATAGGGTAATTATTTGGAATTAAATAGGATAAGAAATCCTATATGTATATGTATGTATATATATATATATATACACAGAGAGAGAGAGAGAGAGAGAGAGAGAGAGAGATAATCTTTCACTTTTATAACAATGAATTTTATGTTTTTTAATGTTTATAGAATTTTTATTTTTATTTTTGAGTCTTATAGGACCATTTTGGTTAACCGATATTAATCATTAACCATAACCATTAACGAACTGAAACTATTAATCAAAACCAATATTAACCGTTATCTAATGGTTTTCATACTACATTAACCAATTATAATGATTATGGTTTGGTTTGATCAATAATGGACCAAACCGCCTCATACGGTAACATACCGAAAACCACAAGGTAAAAGTTTCATTTTTATTATAATCAAAACATAGATGTAACTTGAACCATACATTTAAGAGCATTTCTAAGTAAATCAATTACCATAGTTAATTCCCCAAATTACATCTTGTGGAAAACATGGGTGTATGCACTATAATCTAGCCGGGAAATTCTCTTTCGAACCGGAAGTACTTGACCCATAAACCACAAACTGTAAGCACCAAAATTAGTGAGTTCCCTAAATACCACAAACCACACATACCAATCGAGCCATAAATAACATTTATATCATCGAGCCATACTTATCATATATATATGACGCTCAATAATGTTATTATGTGCCATCTGAAGGCTTACCATTATGCCACAAGCCGCCTCATGGTCTTCCTTGCCAGGCTTAGGGTAAAACCCCGGGTCTTCCTTGTCATTGGTGCTTTCCACCCATATAATAGTCAGGAGACTCACCTCAGATGTTGAAGTTCACTGCAAGAAATCCCTAGTTGCTGCTCTAATGACACCTTCGATCTATCAGATCAAAATAACACCCAATTAGCAATTTGGTTTCATTCTATGGCTCATGATCCATACTTAATGAGTTCCCCAAATACCACACACCACACATACCAATCGATCCAAAAATAACATTTTTATCATCGGGACATACTTATCATACATATATCACGATCATTAAAGGTGTTATGTGCTATCCAAAGTCTTTCCATTATGCCACGAGCCGCCTTGTGGTCTTCCTTGCCCTGGCAGGGGGGGGGGGAACCATGGGTCTTACAGACAAATTCTAGTAGCCACCTCCTGGTCTTCCATGCAAGCATCACAAAGACAAGTAGCACACAATTTACAAATACTTAACTAATAATACCACAACTCAGACTCTGGTCTGAAATACAGAATGCCAGGAGCCGCATCCTGCTCTTTCATACAAATTGTCAAGGGTTATCCCCATGTCTTCTTACAAAACATAACCAAATCGGTTGGCAGTGGTGACTTCAATCCATAGAACATTGAGGAGGCTCGGCTTGAATGTTGAAGCTCACTACAAGAAATCCCTAGCTGCTGCCTTGACGACAGCTTCGATGAATCATATTAAAATAACACCAAATTAGCAATTAGTTCCATTCTAAGGCCTACCATCCATACGTTGGGTAAAATGACCGTTTTACCTCTCACCCATCATGAACCAAAACTAAGGCCCAAGTCCAATAACCAAAGGGCCCTAAACCAAAATATCCACAAAGGACTGCCAATTGCCCAATTTTCCGAATAGGGTCCAACCTATATATCCCTTATCGGACGTCCATCATTTCCTTAGTTACGATTCAGATTAAATCAAGTACCCCTTAGGACAAACTTGATCAAAGACAAAAGTAAAAAACTCGAGACCAACAATCCATGTTGACCCAACACGTAGTGTTGTCTTTACAACACGTTGTGTTTCTCCATCAACTTTGAAACGGTAAAAACCATGCCAACACGCCGAGTTTACCAAAAAACTTGTCAAGTTTGGCCAAGACCCAATAGCTTAATATATTAACCTACCTTCATCGAATACATGAGCTCCAAAGCTTAGATCTCAACCAAACTAAGATATAGAACTTGATACCTCAAACGCCTTGCAAAATAGGTAGTGGTTCTGGAAGCACCGAAATGCATCAAAACCCAAACCCTACACTTAAAAAGAGTGTTTGCTTAACAATTAAGCATGTAATCTTCAAAGACAAAACCCCAAAATGCAGATCTGACACCCTAGAGCTGGAAAAGCATGTAAAGTTTCCAACTTTACATTCATGCATGCCTATGAGAAGCTCAAATGCTCAAGAAGGGCTTAATAAGGGACTTAATGAATGCATGAAGTACTAAAATCCATAAAGTTAGCATCTTTATGCTAAAACAGTTCATGAAAACCCTATATATAAAAGAATAAAGCTTTGGAATGTCATAATTGTTGGATAAGGTGTCTAAGTCCATAACTATTTCTGGTATGTACTTGACCCGACCCGGCATGGTCCATTTGGGTTGCATGGCACCATGCAATTGGATAGACTAAATGAGAGAAATAACACTTGGAGATTATTAATATATTATAAGTTCTAATATATTAATAATATTATTTGATTAGTTTGATCAAGAATTAATTTAGAATTAATTATGTGATCAAAAGATAACTAATTAAATATATGGGTTGATTATGTAAATCATCCATATCATGTATAGTGGGCTAAGAGGCTCCATGGATTATCAAGTTGGGTTCCACCCATAGGATGCTCCATGGATGCTCCATGGGAGTTACAAACCCATGGGTCATGGAAATGAAGAGTCATGACACATTAGGGTTTAACCCTAGATGTGTCAACACTATATAAGAAACATGTTCTCCACCTAAAATCGGCTACACTAAGAAACTAGAGGGCTTGGCCGATTTTTAAGAAGTGTGTGTTCTCTCATAAGTTTTTCCAAGAGCATTTGGTGTTGTGTGAAGCATTTGAGGCATCAAACTTGGGGTGCTAGGCTCACAAGGTTTCAAGGAACACAAACAACAACAAGGTAAGTTATTCTATCTATACTTTAAATTAAAATTGTTCCCCATGTATGCTAGATAGGAATATAACCTTGGAATTCAACTTTGCATGATAATTAGACAAACATAGATCCAAGGTTATTAGGGTTGCATGTACACTTAGGAAGTGTTAAAATGCTCAAAACCCATCAGTGGTATCAAAGCCTAGGCTTGTTTGTTTTTTATTTGTGCTTAAAAGTTGAAAAAAGTCAAAAAATCTTGCTGTCTACGAGTTGACTCGCCGAGTCTATAGGGGGGACTCGCCGAGTTCACATGTATCTTCAACCAACTCGGCGAGTAAGTTCATGCACTCGGCGAGTAGGGTCGACTGATTGCAGAATTTCGATTTAGTTGCTGGAAATGAATTAGAAACATTATCCTAAACTGTTTTGGTAATCGAAAACTTGTTTTTTGGTGGTGTAATGTCTTTACTAATTCATTTACAACAACTAGTTATCAAAATTACAAAGTTTGAAGTGTAATTTTTGAATGTGTTCATATTCATGTTCTTGTTCTTATGATGTTTTAGATGATCATAGGAATTATTTGTAACCTATGTGGTAGATTAATTCTTGATCATAATGTGTTTTAATGGAGTCCATAACTTGTCCTCAAGTTATGGAAAACCAAGAGTCACACTTGAATTAAAACCATTAAAAGAACACAAGAGTTAGAAAAATGAAGAGTCTTCATTTTATTACTCTATTAAACTCATAAGTTACAAGAAATGAAAAGTTTTGAAAGTTACAAAACTTGCCCTCAAGTTTTGGAACAAGTAAAGTTAAGTTAAAACTTTAGTTCCAACCCCTAGAATTTTAAAAGTTAAAATTCAACCCTTATACTTATATTATGATGATTTAATAATTATATATATATATATATATATATATATATATATATATATATATATATATATATATATATATATATATATATATATATATATATATATATATATATATGTATAAGAATAAAGTCGTCTTACCGCTAGTACGCCTCATTCACGAAGCCGGTCTATAAGGTGGGTATAAGGTTGTTGCCTATAAAATGGTGACTTAATGTGTGTCTACTCTCACCCACCGTTTGCTTGACTGGTGGAGGGTCGTTAGCCGAACGGGTAAGACAAGGACTTATAAACTCTCATTCTTAGTATGATGAATATTATAAAGTAACTAAATGTTTTATTAAATTCCCAATCTTAGTTACTTTAGGAAAATGTGAATAATGTGCTAATCCATGAAATTACACTTTACACTTTGTGTAAGTCGTTGGTGGAGCGTGTGTGGTTAACCGGCACACTAACTTGGACTTAACAAGGTAGGTAAAGGGTGACTTAAGGTTTATCATAGTATCGGTGGAGCGTGTGTGGTTTACCGGCACATCGATTGAGTGATAAACTTTAAGGCTACCAAGTGATTTGCATGGTTACTTCACACCTCGTGCAATAGATATAATTTTGCGCTCCTTACCATCGTGCTATGATCAATTCCGCATGACATATCACATGAATAAGGAAGAGGTCACTCTCAGCAAACTTCAGGGTCTTCTCAAGACTGCAGAAACAGGTCTTAAGGG